TCCAGCCGCTGTTGAAAGTGATCAGCGGCTGATTCCAGGAAGCCCGGCGCAGAGCAGTGGCCGAATCTGGACGCCAGTTCCAACTTACATACAAATTAAACTTAAGAACAAACCTACAGTCCCTATCTTGTACATAACCCGGGGACTGCCTGTAGTGGATCAAATTGGGTCAACATCTGTATTTTAAATAATGCCCAGAGATTAAAACATTGATAAACACAAAAGCTATTAATGTTAAGGATTTCAGTATACATTTCAGCCTATACAGATCAAAAACTTTTTTTCTATATTGCATTTTAGAAGGTAAAATAAAAGAAGAACACGTTAAAAATCACCTAGAAAAGTTAGATGCCTGCACGTCACCAGGGCCTGATGACATGCCCATCCTAGTATACTCAAGCAGCTGATAGAAGAGGTATCTGAGCCTCTAGCTATCATCTTTGGAAAATCATGGGAGACAGGAGAGATTCCAGAGGACTGGAAAAAGGGCAAATATAGTGCCCATCTATAAAAAGGGAAATAAGAACAACCCAGGAAACTACAGATCAGTTAGTTGAACTTCTGTGCCAGGAAAGATAATGGAGCAAGTAATTAAGGAAATCATCTGTAAACACTTGGAAAGTGGCAAGGTGATAGGGAACAGCCGGAATGGATTTGTAAAGAACAAATGTCAAACCAATCTGATAGCTTTCTTTAATAGGATAATGAGTCTTGTGGATAAGGGAGAAGCGGTGGATGTGGTATAGCTAGACATTAATAAGGTGTTTGATACGGTCTCGCATGATATTCTTATCAATAAACTAGGCAAATACAACTTAGATGGGGCTACTATGAGGTAGGTGCGTAACTGGCTGGATAACCATACTCAGAGAGTAGTTATTAATGGTTCACAATTCTGCTGGAAAGGTGTAACTAGTGGGGTTCCGCAGGGATCTGTTTTGGGACCGGCTCTGTTCAATATCTTAATCAACGATTTAGATATTGGTATAGAAAGTACGCTTATAAAGTTTGCAGATGATACCAAGCTGGGAGGGGTCTTGACTAATCTGCAGGATAGGGTCATAATTCAAAATGACCTGGACAAATTGGAGAAATGAGGTAAATAGGATGAAGTTTAATAAAGACAAAAGCAATGTGCTCCACTTAGGAAGGAATAATCAGTTTCATACATACAGAATGGGAAGCGACTGTCTAGGAAGGAGTACGGCAGAAAGGGATCTAGGTGTTATAGTGGACCACAAGTTGAATACGAGTCAGCAGTGTGATGCCATTGCAAAGAAAGCAAACATGGTTCTGGGATGCATTAACAGGTGTGTTGTGAGCAAGACATGAGAAGTCATTCTTCTGCTCTACTCTGCGCTGGTTAGGCCTCAATTGGAGTATTGTGTTCAGTTCTGGGCACTGCATTTCAAGAAAGACGTAGAGAAATTGGAGAGGGTCCAGAGAAGAGCAACGAGAATGATTAAAGGTCTAGAGGACATGACCTGTGACGGAAGGCTGAAGGAATTAGGTTTGTTTAGTTTAGAAAAGAGAAGATTAAGGGGGGACATGATAGCAGTTTTCAGATATCTAAAAGGATGTCACAAGGAGGAGGGAGAAAACTTGTTCATCTTCACCTTTGAGGATAAAACAGGAAGCAATGGGCTTAAATTGCAGCAAAGGAGGTTTAGGTTGGACATTAGGAAAAAGTTCCTAACTGTCAGGGTAGTCAAATACTGGAATAAATTGCCCAGGGAGGTTGTGGAATCTCCATCTGTGGAGATATTTAAGAGTAGGTTAGATAAATGTCTATCAGGGATGGTCTAGACAATTTTTGGTCCTGCAATGAGGGCAGGGGACTGGACTCGATGACCTCTCGTGGTCCCTTCCAGTCCTAGTATTCTATGATTCTATGAATTTACAAGTTTAGCAAGATTTATATGGAAGGAAAGAAGTGTGAATATCAGGTTTACAGTTTTATGAAGTATACAGAAATGAAATTGCAAAAATGCAGGTGGAATCATATTACACAAATTTCATAATAAAATAAAATGAGAGAAATCTGAATAAAATATGTAAGTGGGATAAGCTTTAATAAGGGTACAATTAATGATTTATAGCCAGATGATGTAATTTCTATGATTTCTATTATAAAATATTTTACTTTCAGTAAGATTTAAATGGGAAAAAAACCCAATTAAAATACATATTTAAATCCATGCTGTTTAAAATTGTAACTGCATGTAAACATTTATATTTCACTTTGGCAAAGCATATACCTCTTCCATATATATGTCTAAATATATTCCCTAAAAATGTAGGTTTAGATTTTTGTGTGCGCACAAACTTCATGTGCCTAACCTGTGCTCTCAAATCCAGATTTAGATATATGTAAATTATGTGTGTAAAGACTTTCAAAAATAAGTCTGATGGTCTGATAAGTCTAGGTACAAAAAGCTGATTGTTTAGAAAGACACATGAAATTGAGGGGAAATTATTAGTATAGAGCTGCCTATTGATCTTGAGTGTTTAAATTTAATCCTGACTCTGTTGTATGATATAGATAAGAATTAGACCAAGTTCTTGCACAGATTCAGAGACAAACAACCTGAGTATTAGCACGTGAGTTTTACGTGTCATAATAAAAATCTTTCAACATACCTAGGTAGCTAACCAGGAACAAGTGTTAGGAATTAAGGAAAGTCTACTCATAGTTTTCCAACAGAAGAGAAAGCTACTTTGCTTGTGATAACATAAATCAGGGGTGGACCAAGCTGTGGCTCCAGAGCCACATGTGGCTCTTCAGAAGATAATATGCAGCTCCTTGTACAGGTACCAAATCCAGGGCTGGAGCTACAGGTGCCAACTTTCCACTGGGATGAAGGGTACTCACTGTTCAACCCTTAGCTCTAGGCCCTTTCCCCTTAGGATCCTGCCACTTCCTACCCTCTCCAGTGGCTCCCTCTGAGAAAGAACTGATCACAGTGGGCAGGAGTTAAAGGAGGAGGCGGCACTGACCGGTGGGGCTGCCAGTGGGCGGGATGTGCTGAGAGTGGTGGTGGGTATATAACCAGGGCTCGCCAAGCGGCGGTGAGCCCTGCTTGTCAGCTGCGTGGAACCGCATGCTGCGCATGCGCCGGCCACGCTGCCATGCCGGGCTAAAATCTACTCACCACAGGCGAGTAGATTGCCTTAATTGTCGAGCCCTGCATATAATTATTGCTTTTTGGCAATGTGCATTGGTGAATTTTGGCTCCTTCTTAAGTTTAGGCTGGTCACTCCTCACATAAAAGATTAAAAGAAAAGTATTGTGGAAGGGGAAGGGTAGACAAGTGTTGCAAAATAAATGATATTCTGATTAACTGAACTAGTGAAACGGCATTTGCACGCTGCCTTATTTTGTATTATTGTGCCCCCAAATTGTTCTGGAGGGGTCCACCTTTGGAGAAAGAGTTGATTAGATAACACCATGGTAGGTTATATTTTAAGAACCAAGATATATGGAGATAAAACTGAACATTCAACTGTGGGTCACTTTGTTAGTGCTGCAGTTGATTAGACCAGTATTGCTTTTGTCTTAGACTTCCCTTGATTTTTGATAAACACTTCAAGATGATCTCTGAAAGGCATCTGGGTAACAATGGCACCCTTTTACAGAGTTCATTTTGTAAATATTAGTCATACCAACTTCAGTGACAGAAATAAAGGCTTTTGACTCATTACAACTGCAGATTCAATGCAGTGATGGGACATAAATCTGGATTTTATTTTTTCTCTAATTATTAACAAATTCCAGTTACAGATTTTAAATCTCATCTATTACATCTGTGCATTACCCCTGAATACAAAGAAGTTGCACTAATGTAACTTAGGACAGAATGTGGCCTGCACAAGATTTATTTCTGGTAGCATGTGGGAATGAAAGTATCACGTAGTCTTACAAAACCCCTTATGGGGATGTACATATCTGACTTAAAAAAAAAAAAAGTCTTGTTAATTCACTATATTTGAATTGAAAATTGATTCAACAAACACTAAACTCCATAATACATTTTATAGCTATTTCATAATAGAAACAGACTAAAAACGAGATGAATATCTGTATGTGTGCTTTAACTTAGTCTTGTTCTTCATCCTTGAAATTTGAGCTACATAATTATGATACAGCACTTAGAATTGGTACTTTAATAGATTTAAATCTTTTTTTTAAAACTATTTTTACTCACATTCTAGTTTAAGTAGGGATATAAAGACTGCCCGAAACAATCATTTTGTTTAATTGCTTAACCACTGGTGGTGGGTGGCAGGAGGTGACTCAGCCCCCACTTGCTGTACCTGGGGACGCTCAGGCAAATTAATCCAAATTAACCCAAGGTGTGGATTTAAAGTAGATTAGCTGCTCTCCATTAAAGCCTTTGTGGACACTCGTATTCAGAATTCAAGTGGTTGAATTCACTGAGTTCAGATAAACTAAATTATGAGTGTGTTCACTCAGAGGTTTAATACATTTTAACAAATCCACTTTAAAATAACCTTTTTTAATTCAGAAATACTGTCTTGATTGTTCCAAGATAAAGAAACCCTCAGTGACTTCTGAAGGTCACAGCAAGTCAGTAGCAGAACCCACAGTTATAGGTTTATTGTGCTCTAGACTGGTCCTCCATACATTATACATTTGTTGTTGTTACCTTATTTAAATAGCAGAGAATTCTTCTAAACCACCTTAAACTTGTATTTAATGGTTGACTTAAAAACCCCTGGTAGGCTTCTAATGGAAATGTTCACAGACTTTGAATTACAATGGCACTGTCAAATATGAAGTGTATCATAGTTTTCAGTTTAACACGACAAATTAAACAGCTAACATTTTCTTGTTAGGAAGGAGAAGCAGTTGTGGCTAGTGGTGGAACATCAGAAGATGAAGAGAAAGCATGGCACAGTGATGGCAGTTCTAGGTAAGTGACATAATATAGTACTACATTTAAGGATTGTGTCCACCTCTCTGCATGTTGTATTCGCATTAATGAGCATTGTGCACATAAGGAAAGAAAATATTTAAGAACTTAAAAATATGAAAACAGTCTCACAGATTTTGAGTGTTAAACAAATTCAGAGGAACTTGTTAAACTTAATTGTTCTAGAAATGTTACTTAACATTTTTGGGGCTGATGGCGGGGGGCGGGATACAATTTCAAGAGGAATTAAATTAATCCAAAGTAGCATTTGGAGATGTGACAAGGTGAAAAGGAACTTCAGGAACATAGAAAGATACTTAGTTTTCAGGTAAAGCTTTTGGCAATTCCTTGAAAACTGCCTGCTTTCTCTCTCTATTCTGACACTAAACCATAATGCGGCCAGTCTTGGGAGCAGCTCAGATATATTGATTGTCAGGTGTAGGCAGTAGTCAACTGGTCAAAGTTGCTTTACTGAGCTGTGCAACTATGAAATGAGAAATAGGGACTCTGCTCCATAGCAGGCAGCTTTCAAATGGTTAGGGAAATGAACAGGAAGTAGTTAGCAGAAGAGATGAGCCAAAAAGCAAGAGAACAAAATAGTTTCAGCCAAAAAACAAGGAGAAAAAGAGAGAAGACAAAAAAGGATAACAAAAGAAAATATAAATACCAGTTTATATGAGAAAAGGTGGGTGAGTTAAAATCTTTAATTGGACCAATCTCTGTTGGTGAGAGAAACAAGCTTTTGATTTATACAGATCTCTTCTTCAGGTCTTCGAAAGGAACTGCCAACATCATAGGAGAATACCGGGTGGAACAAATTGTTTAGCATAAATATTTAGCACAGATTGTAAAGGCATTATTTAAGGTAGTGGCCTGTTAATACCACTGTAGTCATTGGACAAAAAAGGTTGGGTTTAAGTCCCCAGGTGTTCTGCAGCTTTTCTTTGAGGACAAGGGTAGATACTTCAGCTATTAAATGATCGCTTTGTGAAAAATGTTCACCCACACTGGTTTTGGTTGGTTTTGATGTGGTTTTGTCTTACCATTTCCTTGTGTGTGTTCATTTGAGACTTTAGTGATTGGTGTCACCCATATTATTGTTGTTGGGGCATTTAGTGCACTGGATGAAGTATATCAAATATTGTGACAGATACAGATTTTGAAAGGTGTGTTAGGTGGGGTCTTGATCCTTGTAGCAGTGGAGATATGTCTGCAGGTTTTTCATGTGATGTTTTGGCTGTGTCTGGTGTATATCTTGGAGTAGTTGGCTTCTGGTCATGAGCTCGGAGAGTTTGGGATTATTTTGAAGGCCTAAAATGGAGTTAAGGAAAGATTTCTTTCATGTTGGGGTCCCCATTGAGTATGGGTTTTAGGTTGTTTGATGAGTATGGGTTCCTGTATGAAATGGTAGATGACAGCTAAGTTTGTGTAGTTGCGGGGAGGGGTATTTCTTCATTGAAGTAGGTTCTCCCGAGCATTTGGGGGACGTCTTGAATGGTGTAGTCTACTTCTCTGGTGGAGTGTCTTTGTTTGGTGAAGGGGGATTTAAGCATGTTAAAGTGTATATCCCAGACTTTCTCCTTGCATATTCTGTGGTATTTGAGGGCCTGGCTGTACATAATTGATTTCTTGGTGTGTTTAGTAATCTGTGCTTTTCATATATATATGATTGTTGAAGCTATTTGTGGTGTTTAGAGTGAGTGTGTGTGTGTGTGTTCTTCAGAGTGCTAAATGGACAGGTCGTGTTTGCTGAAGTTGTGGTAGAAATTTGTGACAGGGTTTAAGCTATCTGTACAGAGGATGAAAATACCATTGGTGTATTTCAGGTACAGTAATTCCTCATTTAACACTATAGATATGTTTCAGAAAATGATCGTGTTAAGTGAAAATGTGTTATGCGGGGTAAATTTTCCCATTGAAAATAATGGAAAAGGGGGAGGTTGTGTTTCAAGCGGTGGTGTCTGTTGGGACTGGGACGTAAGGTTGGGGGAGAAAGAGGACTGGGTTACAGTAGGGAGGGGAGGTGTTTGGCTCTGGGGAAAGGAAGGAGAGGAGAGAAGAGAAGAGGGGGATTGGGTTGGGAGTATGCCCCTGTGACAGGTCTGCCAGGACCTGCACTGCGTCCGGTGAGGGGGGAATGGCGCAGCGAGCAGTGAACCCGCCACTTTTCAGGGAGACGGGGAGCTCCACGCAGCTGCCGGTGATGGGCCGGCTGGGGAAACCCAGTCGCCAGCCTCCAAGCGGGTGCGGAGGAGAGGGGGCAGGGCGTCTGGCGAGGGGGAGTCAGCGGGTAACGGCTCTGCGAGCATCGAGTCCTCTGCCACTTTTCAGGGAGACGGGAAGCCCCACGCAGCCGCTGGGAACAAGCTGGCTGGAGAAATTGTGTTATTCTGGGAATGGTCGTGTAATTCAAAAAACGTACCCTAAAAAAAAAAATTGTGCTATCGCGAAAACCTGTTGAGGCACGTGTTAAATGAGGAATTACTGTATATCATTCGTTTCAGCTCTCCTAATTGACCCATGAAGAAGTTAGCATATTGGGCTATTCTTACGGTTTGGACAAAGTGTTGACTGTAAAATTGTTATGGGTGAAGATGGAATGGATGAAATTGATGAGTTTGACAATGTGTATGGAGTAGATATCTTAGGGTTGTCAGGTTTCTTGTAAATATTTGAGGCAGAGAGCTATGCCATCATTGTGAGGGACAGTGACGTACAGGGAAGTTATAAGATATTATTTCACCCACCTTTTCTCTCTAATATGCTGGGACCAACACAGCTACAACACACTGCAAAATACAGTTTATACAGCGTAAACCGTATTGTAAGATGGGCACAATATATATCTGCCTGTTCATCACCAAGAGACTGAAGTCAGAAAAGGCTGAGAACAACCGTTCTAAGGAAATGTATTAAATTTTAACTGTTTACCTAATGTAGGATTTGATTTCTGATACTCAAAATTACTATTAAGTAAAGTTGAAATAGGAAAATAAAAAAAATTCTGCCCAGTCAAGTTTACTAGATTAAAGGGAGATTTTCTGGAAAGAAAAAAGGCAAAACAAGAGTCTTCCACTGGTTTTTTTGTTTGTTTTTGATTTTTGTTTGTTTTTAAAAGGAGGAAATGCACCCAGAAACTAGATAGGGAATTTAACATCAGTTGTGAAGGAAATAGAAATGCCATCTAAATGGATGTGGACAGTTCATACCAAGAAATACCATTTGATTTAAGATAATCTGTGTATATTAAGGAGGAATGGGAGATCATTGTTAAAATGCTTGTGTGTGGAAATACTGCTGCTCACTATGCTAGAAGAATTGAATTAGATTTTCAACAAATAATGTAAAGAATCAAGATTGCAAAATAATGGTGGTGGCTGTGGTGTATACTGCAGCTGTTGATTGTATTATAGCATTACCTAGAAATCCCGATAAAAGTGTGGAGCCTCATAATACTAGGCTCTAGAACAGACATGGGTAATCTTTTTTGGGTCAGAGGCCAACCGAACAAAGAGTCAGTTGGGGGCAGCACATAAGTGAGAAACAAAAAATAAATAAATAAAAAAACCCACACCCTCACTGAAATGGCCCCTGACTGAGAAGCCCACACCCTCACTGATATGGCCCCTGACTGAGAAGGAGAAAGACACTCCCCATATACTTCTCGCACACCAGAGCCTGGGGGACCCAGCCTAATAGAAGTAAATGGTAGGACCACCATGATCTTGTTGTTCTTCTTGGAGTGATGTCCCTGTGGGTGCTCTACTATTGGTGTTGGGCTCATCCTGCTGTCACAGATTGGAGACTTTTCCAGCAGTATTTGGTTGAGCCGCACATGCACGGCAGGGGCACGCGCCATTCGTGCCTTTGGAGTTTGTGCGCACGGCCCAACTTGCCTCAGTTTCTTCATATTCCCCTTGGTTACAGACGGACCTTGATCCCTCTCCTCCTCTTAACATACCTGTAGATAAGAATTGTGTTTGAGTGAGTTAGTTAAAAGTTTTTGTTTCCTATTGTTTATATCTATAATTGCTAGCCAAAAAAAAGAGATTTTCTTTCCTCATCTAAATAGGCCGTTAGCACCTCTAAGAGGCAATGGGCTAAAGGGTGATCTGACAACAACATTTCATTTAAAAAAAAAATGCACTCATAGACTTGAGACTGGTGAGACAGAGCCAAGTCCAGTTAAACAAAAAAAAGTGAGTTTCATGGACACAAGAGATGCTCGGTTCACCAGAATGTAAGAAATGTGACAAGTGTTGTGACCTGATGCCCGCTTCGGATGGCCACAGGTGTTATATTCAGTACTTGGGAGAGGTGCACGTCCCGCAGAAATGAATGCTTTCCTGCAGCCTCATAGCCAGAGTGTGCAAGAATAGGGAGCTTAGGCTGCGGATGCTATTATTTGATAAGGCCCTTGAGCCTCCAAACAACCAAGGAGGGGAGTACTCAGCAGGCAACTCCCAGTAAACAAAAGAAATCAGTGAGCTCCCCCTCTCCTGCTAAACCACCGCAAAAAAGAGTCTTCCCGACATGTTCCTTGCCTCCCAGACTCCGCACCGGAGAGAAGCCAGGCACCTCCGTCACCTGGCACCCCATACCTCTTTGGTCACAGAACTGAACCACAGACTGCACAGCCTTCTGCACTGGCACCTGCAGCACTGAGAGCTGATGATGTCTGGAAACTGGGTAAACTGCTGGCACCGTCTGCACCTCAGGTGCTGAGCACTACCTCGACACCGATAAAGGCAAGGGCAAAATTGGCTAGGCCCCTGCCTTGCTCGCTGAGCCTGAAACAGGAGCCCTCATCATCGGCACCGATGTGTCTTCCACCAGCACCGCATTCATTGGTATCGCAGGAATCCTCACTTAGCCGGCACCATCCTGCACATAAACACGACTACGAAGCACTGGTACCAATCTCAAGACCACGCTCGAGATCACCGCACAATGACTTGCAGAGACAAGCCTCTTGTTCTCTATTACCACCTCCACATTCT